AAAAAAAAAAAAAAAAAAAAAAAAAGTCCCTAGAAACAGTCTGTGCATATACAGGCCTTCATGCTTGGGATTTTCATTTTCAGTCAAGTAGTGGAATTCTATTGATGTATACACACATGTGATACTAGGGACTGGACCCAAGGTCTTTGCACTGAACTACACCCCCAGCCCTTTGTTATTTTGAGATAAGGACTTTCTAAGTAACTACATTGCCCTGGCTAGGCTTGAACTTGTGATCTTCCTGCCTGAGCCTCCCCGAACGTCGGGATTATAAATGTGTACCACCACACCTAGCTAAGGGGATTCTTAAAGGGATGAGGGATTTGACTCAGGCTAAACTTGAACTACTTTGGGGTTGCAGAATTGGGCTTCTGTGCACTGAGGCTGCCCATAATCTGCAGCAGGGCAAGTTGGGTCAGTCTGTGTCAGTCTTCTGCGCATCACTCACAGACCTTTGCTTATTTTGAGAGCTTTAAAAGGCTTTTTTGATTACACAGGAAATACCCAAACATATTCCCAGGCTGGGATAAAAAGGGTCAAACAATGCAATAGAAGTAAAAGCCCAGTTGAGTCTCCAAACCCTCTTTATCCAGAAGCACCCACTGTAGCCAATTTGTATTTTGCATGTTTTGACCCTTTAGTGTTGTAAGGAATGTTGTTTGTGTTCTGTTTTCTACATGGGACTACATCTTACATGCTTTATAACCTGCTTTTTTATTTAATGTTTAGTCTTGGCCTTATTTCATTCAGTGTGTATAGGTCTAGTGAATTCTTTACAACCACCATGTTACTATTCTATTCTGTACGTTTACTGCAAGGATTTTCCTCTCGATGGATATTTAGGTTGTTTCTAACTTTTTGTTATTACCTACAATGCCATGTGTGAAGTCCATGGAGAAATAAAACAATACCTCTAAAATACAGAAGGAGGATCTCTGAGGTAAAGGATATACACACTTAAATTTTTAAGAGCTACTCCAAAATTGCCCTCCAAAAAGAAATTTCTGAGGTCCACTAGGCAGGAACAGGGTAAGTTCCACAGAACTGTGACTTTTTTTTTCCCTTGGAGATTGTGATCAAAAACTGATGTCACTGCTCACAAGCAAAAAGAGGCCTGCAAGTCTGCAGGAGAATGCAAACCCTGAACAATAAACAAAGCACCATCTGTACAGTCATCAAGAACAGGGGCAGGGATAGCACAGCGGAGGACTGGCCCCGGCCCCGCCTCCAGGCCGGCTCCTCTGCCTGCCCAGCTCTGCTCTAATAAAACTAGGCAGGAACACCGGGGAGACAGCGCTTGCGTCAGAGAAGTGCTGCGCAGACAATGGGGGTTTGCCCCACTGCAGGCTGGGGAGGCTGCCGTTGCCAGGCCTTCTGAGCAAACTGCTAAGGTCGGTGGATTGCACTGACTTAGAAGTGTTCATTCTACATAGCTTCCTTCTGAGCAGCTCTGCTCCTGGTTTGTGGTGTACCAGAACCGGGAGGATCTGATTTACTGAAGTCCTCCAGCCTTCAAGCACTACCCTTTCCTTCAGTGTCCAAATAAAAGGGATTCTTTTCCCACTTCACAGCCTAGGGAAAGCCAGCTCCTGCCTGGGACTTTGTGGACTCCAGGGTTGATGATGATGTGTTCCTGGTCACCTCCCACCCCCACTTCACGCCCTTGAATCGCTGTTGGCCTCTTCGCTCTCTCCTCTCTTCCCATGCTCACCAGCGCTCCCACCCTTTCTTCCCTGTCCCCAGTGCCGGTGATTGTACTGAGATTTGTGGGTAAAGGAGAGGGGTCCTAGCGCTGTCCAGAACAGGAAACGTTGCAATGAGCACCAGGCGACACTCTTGGAAAACTGCTCAGCCCCTAAGCCGCGGAGGAACTGGCTGAACTTCACAGGTCCTTGTGGCAACTTGTGGATTGCCTTTTCTCAAGAGCCCTCTTTCATCTCCCCAAAGCTTGTCCCATTCAAGTCTCCAGGGAACAGCTCACAATTGCTTGTTGCTTTATTTGGTCCAGCCAGTTACCTCTCTCAGAGTTGCAGAGTTCTTAATCTGTTTAAATCTGGGC